AGGCCAGCTGGGGCTATAGGGAGACCCTGTCTCAAAAAGACCAAAAAAAAGTATCACAATGTGTAACTAACCTTCTTGGGTGTTTAATGACCATACTTTGAGGCCTATACTAATCTGGTCAGAGGGACTTAAATGGACAATTTTTGCCCCTGTCCTCTAAGGTCAACTAAGTTCCAGGGGGGCTATGAGGCATCTCTTGAAATGTCCTGTAATTGTGGTATGTCACCTGTCCTCTTGTTCAGGGAGGCCATGGAAACCCCACTAGATGGACTCAAATCATTGTCCAGTCTACAAAGAAGGTCAAAACAGAGGAAAGTTTCCTCCATACTTCTAAGCAAAGCCAAGCATGATTGAGAAAGACCTTTGTCTTATCTCACATAGATGAAACTGGTAAAAGAAAGGCCTAAGGAGCCAGGGGCTCTTCCCAAGCCCATGTGACCTGAGGACCAGATCCTCTAATGACCTTAAAAGTAAAAATAGGCCTGGTGTGGTGGCACACACCTTTAGACCCAGCACTCTGGAGGCAGAGGCAGGTGGATCTCTGTGAGTTCAAGGCCAGCCTGGTCTACATAGTGAGTTCCAGGCCAGCTGGAGCTATATGGAGACCCAGTCTCAAATAAGACAAAAAAATAAGGGGCTGGAGAGGTGGCTCAGTGGTTAAGAACCCAGGTTTGAATCCCAGCACCCACTTGGCAGCTAACAAGTGTCTGTAACTCCAGTCCCAAGGGATCAGACAGCCTCTTCTAACCTCCATGGGCATTGCATGACATGGGTGCACTTACCTACATGCAGGCAATACATGCATACACATAAAATAAAAATAATAAAATACTTTTTGGTCGGGCATGGTGGCGCACGCCTTTAATCCCAGCACTTGGGAGGCAGAGGCAGGCAGATCTCTGTGAGTTCAAGGCCAGCCTGGTCTACATAGTGAGTTCCAGGACAGCTGGGGCTACAGGGAGACCCTGTCTCAAAAAAAGACAAAAAAAAGTCCAAAAAATAATTAAATAAACAAAAATAAATTGGTTTATTTGGGCCAA